CGTTCGATGTGTAATGCGGCACTCGAGCACCTCGAGCCGTACTCAGTACCACGAGCCCCGAGCCTCGTACCCAGTACCACGCTAGTTGCCAGGGGACCGTCCGGTGACACCGGGGCAAGCGCGACACACACAAGGCGGTGCTCGCAGCCGGTGTCGCTGTAACGCCAGTGCAGCTCTCCCCCCCCCCCCCCCCCCCCCCCACCAGACCAGGTGTCCGCAGGGACGGGCCGCGCATCAACAACAAGGCTCAACAAGGCTCGCACAGCACCGCTGTTTCTGTTGCCAAATAAGCATGCGAACACAGATCAGACAAGCTGAGGTGGTCCATAGCCCTTGGCAGAGTCCAGAGTCCACCCAACGACGCGCTCTGTAACAACTCTGCTTTAATTTGCTTAATTAAGCTGGTCAGTCGGCTACGAGTTCGTGGTCATTGAGTTGAGGAGGTCTGTCAGTTGCCTTCGCGGAAAACACCGGATGGTTGAGCCACGACAGTGATTGATGAGTAGTACCCATCTTTTGTATGATACCGTGTGGCCGGAATCTCAACACCGATTCCAGAATCCACCTTTGACTTATCCGCAGTTTTTATTGGCCGGCTGCACTTCCATTCGCTCCCACACGGAGTTTCTACCGCGCCGCCGTGGAAACGGAATGCCTGGGCATCGCTCAGGAACACAAGCAACAAATGCTGAGCTTTCCCAGTCGCAAACTGGCTGTTATATGGTTGGCTTGGTTATTGGGGTACGCCATAATTTTGCTTGTTAGAGCCTCGGTTTTGCTTTTTGGTGTGCTGGTTTGCAGCACTTCAGTCATTCACCATAGTGCAGTGTCCTAACAACTAGGCAGCTACGCCAGTTTCTACGACCCTCGTTCTAAAGACTTCACGGTAATTTTAAGGTTTTCGCCACAATTTCATAGCAACACACCGGAGGGTTGAATTTTCATGCTGATCCCACATGGAGCTAAAAATGCGTCGCGAAAACAATGCCAGTTGTTATCATGCTATATGACAAATAACCTCTTTAGTTCCTGAAGAATTAAAGATAAAACCACAGGAGAGTTTTGAGATATTAAATTGAGCCACTGAAACCGTCACCACTATACGCGCCACACATTCTGAAGTGCTTGCGGTGCGGCGTCGTACGCAATGTGAGCAAGCCCCGGAAAGCTGCTCCACTCTACGTCATGTGTTTGCGCATACGCGCCGTCTTTGTTTATGATGGTTGTTGGATGTTGCTGATTGTATCCCATGCAGGTACCATCTCAACTGGGTTGTACCTCAGAATAATCTTTAGAGCCGCGCACGCCTCAAATAAACAATGTTGGCAGCATTCAGTGTTGGTAACCGATCATCCATCTATCAACAGGCGACCCGACTGACCGTCCTGAATCATTTCCAATACCCGTGTGGCACTGTCAGGTAAAAACTAATTCAAACGACCACTAAATCAGGTGTTCTATGTGAGGTCGCTGACCTATGACCGGTCAAAGTCAGGCTTTGGCTGTCAGCGAAAACTACGTCTAGGAAATCGTTCAATCTGATTCGACAGCGGAGTCTGGTGTACGCTTCGAATATAGTAATAATATAGTATAAATATAGACCACAACATACATGTTCCATGCACCTATTTAAGGTCAGAGCAGGTTACTGATCTAAAATGGCCCAGGTCAACATTTGGCTTTAGGAGCATACCGCCAAGCCTAGGCCTTGACGCTTTTTTCGTACCATAAAATGGACGCAACCTGGTACATTTTTGGTCACCTTGACCTTCCAAACACCACAAAAGGTCACTGACCTTCAATGGGAGCTAGTGTCTTTCTGCTTTACAACAGCTATCTCCGTTCAAGTCGTTTGCATGAGGAGATCTGGAGCCCCTTGTACACCAGTTTGGAGGTTGAACTGGTTTGACTTTACTTGAAACCATGGTCATGACTTAGGAACCTCAAATCTTGACACAAGTGAGTTCACATACAGGATAACCTACCCCGTGAATTTGGTGAGTCAAGCTATCTAGGTTGCTTTAATCTATGGGGCCAAACTGACCCCCAACCGAGCGAGGGGTATTCAACCGGCCACCCGGGCGCGTGTCAGAACATGCGTGTGTATGCGGTGTGTAACACTAACTTTAAACAATACCTTGTAGTTGGCCTTCAAAATATTGAGCACTATAAACAATGCCAATTTTGTGCTAGATGAAAGATAACTGAACAGGTTAGAAACTGACGGATTTCTGCATAGTAGCGTTGACGATCCATGAACAAGGAAAAAGAAAATGAAGGTGATGTCAAACTTGAAATTAACACTAGGACCCCAACAGCTCGGTTAGTGATGTCATTATCTCTCCTTTCCAGGATTACAAAACTACCTGCGAACTTTTCACTGTCTTGCTGCACAGAAATATGACAACAGCAAGCAGGCAACTGGTCATGCGCCTGCAGAGCCAAAAACCGCAACAGCTGCGACTTGAAAAAAAAAACAGAACAAGCAGCGGTGAACGTTTTCAGTTAGGTCCATCGCTAGGTCTCAACAACAGCCAATGGAACTTCAAGCTCGGTCCATCCGGCTGGACGCTCCCGATGAGCCAGACGGCTGAGAAGCACTACGAGGCCCCGAGCTACTGCATTTGACAATCGTTGGGCAGACGGGCGCGGCGCCGACCGACTGCCAAGCGGGGCGCGTGGACGGCCGGGCCGGCGTCCTGACGGCCCTGACGGCGGGCTCCGGACTGACGCCGTGACAGGTCGCGCTCTGGCAGCGAGGAATTCAGCCGCGAGATTGCGTCCCCGAACAGTTTGCAGAGTCAAACCCGATCGATGTGGCCCGACGTCGCAAAAGCCTAAGCTGCCGGATATTCTGGGGAAGCCGCGTGACAATTTATCGTGGATTCTTCCAACGTTCCAATGAGCCACGATCGAACCGAATACGCGGCCACGGTCCAGACACAAATACATGATCCACGGTCTTAGCGGTAATATGGGGGAAGCGAGCCTTGAGCCGTCGGTTCGTTGATCCTAAGCATTCCTGCGGCTTCCGTGTTCAACTGGCCACATCATCCAGGCGTGCTGATGTGTGGGATAACGTCAGCTATTTTTGGACAAGAAACTCATGGCATTTCAGTAAAAGCGTGTCCTTCACTGAATCTCGGTTGCCAGTCGAATGGCTGCCTCTCTGTCGACGCCATACGTGGTCACCCTTATCGAAGCCTGCGATATTGCACTTGCACTTGCCGGCACTTCTGTGAATACATTTCAGTACATGCATAACAGCGTACTGTTTGGAAGACGCAAGCGCCTCGCGCAGATGGAAAGGACACAGCTAACAGGTCTTGCAGCGTGTAGCGGACCAGTTACGGAACGGACCAGTACGGAGCGGACCAGTAACACAGTGGACCAGTTACGGGGAGGGCCAGTTACAGGGCGGACTAGTTACAGAGGGGAGCAGTTACAGAGCGGACCGGTTACAGGGCGGACCAGTTACAGAGCGGACTAGTTGCAGGGCGGACCAGTTACAGAGGGGAGCAGTTACACAGCGGACCGGTTGCAGGGCGGACCAGTTACAGAGCGGACTAGTTGCAGGGCGGACCAGTTATAGAGGAGAGCAGTTACAGAGCGGATCAGTTACAGGGCGGACTAGTTACAGAGCGGACCAGTTACAGATTGGGTTAGTTACAGAACGGATCAGTTACAGAGTGGGTTAGTTACAGAGCGGACCAGTTACAAAGTGGACCAGTTACAGAGCGGACCAGTTAGGGAGTGGACCAGGTACGGATTGGGTTAGTTACAGGGCGGACCAGCTACAGAGTGAATCAGTTGCAGAGTAGAGCTGACCAGTCACAGGACGGACCAGCTACAGAGTGGATCAGTTGCAGAGTGGATCAGTTGCAGAGTGGAGCTGATCAGTCACAGGGAGGAGGGGGCCAATCTCAGAGCGTAATAGATCAGTCAAACGGAGGAACACATCGATGGCAGGCTGACAGAGACCAGGCGCAACAGGGCGTCGTTAACCAGTCAAACGTCCGAGCACACAGATGGCGGTCGACATGTAGAGCAGACCAGTCAGGGTCAGAACTCAAGGCGCTGCACTTGTTCTTTACAGGACTGGGACTACAGACGCAGTGCAAAACAGATCATGTATGGGATAGTTCAAGAGGCAGAGCAAATGAGTTATGCGATAACTCGCTGCTGCTGGTGCATCAGTGCTGTGCAACAGTGCAGGGCATACGCCAGGGACCGAGCTGACCAGCAGGGCAGATCGCTGGTGCATCAGCGCAGTAAGCTGAGGACCGAGCTGACCAGCAGGGCAGATCGCTGGTGCATCAGCGCAGTAAGCTGAGGACTGAGCTGACCAGCAGGGCAGATCGCTTGTGTTTCAGTGCACTGTGTGTACGCTAAGGACCGGGCTGACGAGTAGGGCAGATCGCTGGTGCATCAGTGCAGTGGGTAAGCTGAGGACCGAGCTGACCAGCAGGGCAGATCGCTGGTGCATCAGTGCAGTGGGTAAGCTGAGGACCGAGCTGACCAGCAGGGCAGATGGCTGGTTCAACAGTGCAATTTGCGGTCGCTGGTGCATGAGTGCAGTGCGTACGCTGAGGAGCGAGGTGACCAGCAGGGCAGATGGCTGGTGTAACAGTGCACTGTGCGCTGGGGATGGCCGTTCCACTGGCCAGACGCGGGTCGCGAGTGTGCTGCTCCGTTCCCGCCGGGCGCGGCCCATCGGCGTCACGCTCCGGGCATTGGTCTCGATCGTTGGGCGGAACAGATAGTACCGGGAAGGGGCCGGGTCGGAACGGCGAGCGCTGCGCAGCCCGACTGCATGGAGCTCTCGCGACTCACCAAACGTGCCACTGTCGGCTGACGCTCAGACTCTCGGAGGGCAGACGGCTCAGCGGCTGGCGTGCCACTGTCGGCTGACGCTCAGGCTCTCGGAGGGCATACGGCTCATCAGCAGTTGACGTGCCACTGTCGGCTGACGCTCAGGCTCTCGGAGGGCATACGGCTCATCAGCGGCTGACGTGGCTCTGTCGGCCGACGTCCAGGTTCTCGGAGGGCAGACGGCCCATCAGCGGCTGACGTGCCACCGTCGGCTGACGCTCAGGCTCTCGGAGGCTAGAAGGATCATCAGCGGCTGACGTGCCACTGTCGGCTGACGTCCAGGCTCTCGGAGGGCAGACGGCTCATCAGCGGCTGAGCCACTACACCTCACCGAAACCGGCTGGCATCAGCGGAGAGAAACATGAGTGTGAACGAGGGAACTCCTGTAGCCGACTGATTATTTCCATGCACCAGCGTGGGACGAATCACGTTAGAGCTGCTCTGACAACAAATCGGACCATGGCTATTTGCTCCCCGTCTGCCCTGTTCATGTGCGTTTTCTGGAGAGATATTGTTGTTGAACCCTGAATAACTCTATATTGGTGTCGAGAAAGTGACACCATAATGGTAGGAGTACATAAAATACAACCATGGACAGCACCATATGCGAGAGTATGAGTTGAAATCAACACAACGCTCAACCTTTAAAGGCTGCTCCTCACACGATTACTGGATCGGAATTTTCTTACGCATTTCAAAACTTCAAGGACGCTGTTCTGGCTGCCACTGCCAGTGGCAAACTTTTCTATTTTATCGCTGCCACGTATGGAGGCTGCTGCAATGCTTTTGGACGTTCGCACTCGGCGGAGATTCAAAAACGCGCCTTTTAAGAGCGCTGTGCGCTGATTTTGTCCTGCAGCAGAGGGCTTCGCTCGATTTTCATTGGTCCCCTCACCAGGCCATTTACCAACTACTCGTCACTCAAAACTCAACTCGTCGAAAACTCGTAAAAACTCAACTCAACTCAAAACCAACTCAAATCGTCGCAGAGGGCTGCTTTAATGCATTTGATCTCCTCTGTGACTCACCTTTTCGCTGGGCGAATGAATGCACGAAATCTGAAGAGATTACTGCCGACCGCCAGGCAAAACGCAGCAAAAGCACCCGGCCGCTTGACTTTAAGTACGCGGTGGCTGCGGCTGGACGGTCGATCGGTGGCAACGCGACCTAGCCAAAATATGAAATCGTAACATTTGAGCCAAAGTTGGTCTATTACAGAGATCGGACAGACAATGGCAAACAAACGAGTGGAAAATAGAGGAAATGATAGGGAGCGAACCTTAATGCAAATTGCGTCGCGACCCAAGCCATATTTCAACGACAGCGGGTTGCATTCGACAACGTTTTGCAAGATGTTGATATCTTTGGGCTGTCCCTCGATTTCTGGCGCCGTAGAAAGTGGCGTCGGCCACGCAAATTGTGAACCTAAGAGTGCTTGATTCTTTTAGGTTAGATTAACGCACACACGTACTCTGGCTGACATAATATGGCGTGAAACTTTTCAGCCCTTGAAAGGGCAATATATGTACTAACCTTCTTTATTCGCGTGGTATGCTATTCATGCAATCACGCACTAGTAGCAAAAATGACTTAATAATGAAAAGTCATTTTTGTACGCGGAAATGGATCCTTAAGTTATTGAGGTGCACATAAATTTATAACAACCTTTCGCCACAGGGGTTTCAAGAGGAAAAAGGGTGTGTGTGGGGGGAGGGGGGGGGGGGTATCACTGCCCACGTTCGTCTCATTGGTAAGGCATCCCACGCTGCTGCATGGTAAACATTGGCCCGGAAACATATCTCCCTGTCTCACCTGACAGGCATTTGATCCTGTCCTTCAGCACGTCAATGCAATCTCCTACCGCTTTCAAACGTGGAACTCAGCGACCGAGCAGTGAAAGCGCCTGAAAATCATACACATAACGGCAAATACACCTGCAGTACACCAGCACAAGTTGTCCCCACGATAAAACTGGCCCCTCCTTGAACTTTTAAGGATTTGATTTCACCGCTTAGCGAAGTAGGCACGCGAGCGCCGGTCTGTACACCATTTGGCAGGATGCACCTGCCCGTCTATCTTCATTTTGCGTTGGGTTGTGTCTGGGTTGAACTGAGTGTTGCTGGAGCAAGCAAGTTTGATGCGACGCAAGTGCGCGCGAGACGTTCCGCAGTGGTAAATCTCGTGGTTGGGAGAGACCGGTCGACAAGAAAAAATTAAAGAGTTTACTTCCACGGCGTATACAGATGTACAAGTTATTGAGCAGCTTGATTCTGCACCCCTATATATATATATATATATATATATATATATATATATATATATATATATTTTATACGAATATATGTATATATATATATACCATACAGCACACACTCCTGTCTATTAGCAAGGAAACCGACATGCTGTCGTATTCAACGGAATGATCACTATGTGGAATACAGGTAAGCATTGAAACGTCCAATGTACAGCATTTCTTTTTATAGTTTCTTACTTAGGAATATAAACACAAACAACAGGCACACCGGTACCTACAAGCTCTCAAAGAGTAAATATTTTGACAAATGTCCATTGCAGCGGGCATTATGTGTACAGACGATGGCTCCGATAGCCTTATTCCTCATGGAATAGCTAGGAGAGCGCGGAGAGAGAAGAATGCACAAATATTTTGGCTACACGTATCTCTCATAGCGATTATGAGCAGCAAACTCAGAATCATCTGCCAGCCCCACTTTTTGGGGGCCGTTTTTCTTTATTGAGGGAACAGCGACCACAGTTTTTACACGTCACCATCATCCAAGGGATCATACAGGAAACAATTGTCAGCATTATTACGACGCAGTGCATGGCTAGTTAAGAATTAAAAACACCCGAATATACAACATGCATAATGCACACATGCAAAAGGCATTAAGTAAACATTCCGCATTCACAATTGCAAGCGATTTCACCATACAACTACAGGCATACCGGTTGTTGTTTGCGTGGTAAAAGTATACAAACAACAGGCGGTGTGATTGTATAAAGCACGCAACACGCATAAAAGCACTTATCACATTCCCATTCTCATGTTGAACTGTCTGAAAGCATCAAAGGAACAAAGTCCATGTCGGTAATTCGTGCGGCCCACCCGTCTGAGATTTAAAGGAAGCATGCCACCTTTTTGTATTCTCTACTTTTTGCCAGACCGGACGTGTCCGATTCGATCGGTGATACCAGGCTTCTAGAGATCCTGCTAAATAGTTCAGAATTTCTATTCGAAGTATCCGCTCCTGCAAAGCGAAATCTCATTGGACCCCTGCTTACCACTATGAAAGTAATGCGTGTTATTTGCCACGCTTTTTCTAACGTGTGTCTTCTGATATGCTTGAGAAGGCTAATGTGTCAAAATATTTGTGTAATCAGTGCTGTGAAAGCCTGAAACACTTTTTTAGAGAAAAGATGTGCAGACATGAGGCTATTATATCGCGGGTTTAACGAAACCTATAACATGGTTTTGATTTATCCCATATGGCGTTTGGCACGGTGACTCTTTCTGAAGTGCGCTTTGGCTTTGGGAAATGTAGCATCATATGATCTATGGTGATGCATTGGTTCAAGCTTCAACCAATGCTGTTCTCGGTAACTGGCTCTTGCCACCCGCTGTGCCAATCACAAACGTCCATCTGTACTGATGTCACTCATATCAGCAGAGGTGCTACTTTGAGCCCGCAGGCCCGCAATGTGCGGGTCGAAACGGTCCAAAAGTGGTGCCTCTAACCCGGGTGCCGCATACTGTGCTGGCAAAGTGAGTCACAACACCACAGTATTTTCAGATAGCTGTGAATAAATGTAAACTTCAAGCGCGTATTCCCAGTCAGCCTCGCACCGCGCAGGGACCTGGTAGAGCCATGGGTGTCCCACAGCCACAGTGTAAGCGGTAAAGAAAACGCCACATATTTTCGGCGTACCACTGTGGCGCCGCCAGGATTCCGCGAAGGGCGGTGCCACGCTTCGCTGTGGTGCCCTCTGGAAATTAACGCTCCCCTCAAAAATTCCTCGGATTTCAGACACTTCGTTTCCAAGTCCCTATTTTCCAATCGGTAAGCTATCGTACTATGCGCATTGAGAAGGGCTAGGCATTGATGGATGTGAATTTACAAGGTACACGTTCATCTTTTTTCTAGACACTAATGGACCTTTTCATTAATATTTCAGAGGAGATATGGCAAAATGGGTTTAAGTTGCCTGCTAGATACCATCAAAGTCAGGCACGACACAACTTGACTAACTAGCCATTGCCAACCTACATGCAACGAAACCAGCAGAAAGTTGCATTTTGTAGCTCTCCAGCCTTACAATGCTTGGTTGCATGTCATTGGCTTTTACGACGCTACTGAGACTACATGGCTAAGCCTGCCTCTCGCACGCAGAAAGGGTGTGTACCGTTGGGAATCAAACTAAACACTGAACAGTGAATGACAAAACGCAAAAACCATGACTTGTATACAACGCCGAAGTTGGAATGCCACTCAGGGAACGTCATAACGCGTCATAACGACGTCATAACGACGTCATAACGCGAATATCGTAACGTTGGTGGTGGCGGTAGAAGGCGGTGAATCTACTTAACTCTGTTGACTTATAGCTATCGGCACACTTTAAAGTGGAAAAAAGACTTCAGACCCCACAGTCTCTCTATTAAGTAACTATGCTTCTCAATGCGTCATTGTTTGGGTGCATCCTGGGAGTTTGCATGATGTTGAGGTGCTTCCAAGCTAGCCGTACGAAATCGTCACCCTGACACTTAATCATAGCGCTTTAAACTCGTCAAGAAATGACAGTGGTAGTGCTGAAAGTGTTCGCTGCGGCAAATATCGTTATGTGCTCGATTTTTGGCCCTTCTCGTGGCGCTCCTGCATATTCATCCTTGGGTTTAGGATGTTTATTTGTATTCACATGCTCGGTTAGAAAGTTATGCCTAAGTTATTCGATTATAAGTCGCATTTCCGAAATAACTAGCAAGTGAAGAAAACATCCCCAACTTCTTATGCTATGTCGCACGAAACGCGGCTCACCCGACGATATTTTTAATTTCTTCGCCCCGCGACCTAGAACTCCCTGGTTACCCGGGGAGACTACGTGCGTCGATTTACGAGTGGGCCGGGGGTCTTGTGGGAGGGGGACCCCGAACGGGTACACAGCGCGCATACGCGACTGAAGCCCGGTGCTTGGCCGCTGAGGCGCATGCAAGACTG